CCCCGCCGCCGCCGCCACAACACTCGCAGCAAGCCCACAGCTTGCTCTGGAAGGGAGCAGCAGAATGGCCAATGTGAGTCAAATGTGCCTGCCCTGGGTACCACAGGGGAAGAGAGTGTTTGCCTTTGCCATCTTTATAGTTTATAGTAGGAGACAGATCTAGGATATTTGAGCCAAATGAAAAATGAACCCAAGGAAGGGGGAATGAACTGAGGTAAGCCATGAGAAGAAATCCCAGTATGACTGTTCTTTTGCAGGTCCAGAATCATTTCCCCAAGTTGGAATGGACATTTAGAAGGTCCTTGAAGAATGTTCCCTAGAATGAAGTAATTACGTAGCATGAAACAAATGGTGTGAATGTGTAAGTGCAAATACAGTGATAACAAAAATCAGGACTTCTTTCTCATCTAATGGAAATAAATATGGGAAAAACAGGAATCTACAAGAAATTATAATGGTTCAATCATTAAACAAACTAAAACATAGTGTGATTTGAACAAATAATGGGGGTAAAAAAATCTTTTCTGAAGTTGTAACTAAGCCTTCAAGGACTGACTCTCTAAAAAGAGATGAAATTTGTGTTTAATCTCTTTGGGATTTGGCAATTCTTTCAGTTTTATTATGGCTTATTTCTTTTCAAAATCCAAGAAAAGTTAAATTGAATACTCTTTATTAGATGCCTTACTTTTATAACCAAAGTGGCATAAAAAACTTGAAAAAAACGTTCAAGCCAGGAAGCTCATAGGAGGTGCAGAGGCAAGAGAGTTAAAGGGTAAAGTGGCTCGGTTTTCCTCAAGCAAGTTTCCTATTCTTGGAATTTGCCTTCAGTATTGTTATGCATTTCTGAACTGATGAATTTTCAGGGTCAGCACAGACCTGTTGCTTCTTCTTGGTAATAAAGCTGGAAGACAAAGAGAAGAATGATTACAAACTGAAGTGTCTTCTGCAGATGGTGGTGAGGAGCCCCACCCCTCTGCCCCCCAACTTCCCCACTCAACACAGTCTGCTCTTTCCATTCTCTGCAGAAGGCAGCTCGGGGCCAGCCTCCTCTCTGAGACCCTCTCTCAGTCTATGGGACTCCCTAGTGACCCTTGGGCATGTCCGTGGGCAGCTTTCTGCCTGCTCTCTCCTTCCTTCCTCCCCTCCCTTCTTCACTATGGGCCGGGGATGTAGCTCAGTGGTTGTGGCGCCTGCCTCCCAAGCACAAGGTCCCAAGTTCAATCCCCAGTACCAAAAAAAAAAAAAAAAAAGTAGTGCTCCTCTTCTTCACTAGAAATGTGTCATCTCGGATACCCTGCAGGCTTCTAGTAAGGACACAAGCTGCCCCCTACCCCGGCAAGACCCAAGGGTGGGACTTTTGGGGACATTTGCACATCAGTTTCTCCCACCAAGACCCTGCAGTCTCCCTGCAAACCCACAGTGGCTGAGTTTGATACTTACATGACACCTGGCTTGGGGCACCCACCGCTTGTCTCAAAATAATCTTCCATGAGTGTACACCGGATCCTTTGTGAAGTGTAGGAGAAGCAGCAGTCTTCAGCATGGAGTTGGGGCGCTGGTAGGGAAAGGAACACTGAAAGGGAAAGGACCATTGAAAGGTCAAGGTTTTTCCCTCAAGAAGGAGGTGGAGAAGGCCCAGGACTCAGAAAGGATGCTTCCTCCTCCTCAGCCAGCATCATCTCCTTGCTTCACACCTTCACCAGGGCTGAGCTGTGTGTCTGAGGGCACCCAGGATGGGCCCCAACAGGGCCTGAAGCATTTCCTCAGAAGGGGAAGACACCTGCAGACACCTGCAGGCATCAGAGAGCACCCTCTGCTCCCAGTGGGCAGACTCTCAGGTCAGCCAGGTGGGAACAGAGAAGGTATCTTTGGAGGAGGTATTAGAGACCTCCCCTGATCTTCCCTGGAGAACTGTACCCCCATCAGGGTGCTTTTTTTCTCCCCATCCTGTAAACAGGTAGATGAAGGCATAAGCTGAACTGCCCCCGTACTGCATTTAAATATATGCTGTAATGGAATATCTACCACTCTGAAATATTGGAAGTTCACTGTCTTCCATACTTCTTTTATCTCTGTATCTGGAAGAAATGGCGGGGAGAGAAATTTCTAGGAGGCATCTCTACTCACTCTATTCCTCACCTCATCATAAGGAATAGACTCTGATGCTGGACCATGTCACATGTCTGGGTCTAAGACCTCCTCCATTAGTGCCCTAAGATTTTTCAGGGACTGTTACGATTTAAATATGAACTGTCCCCCAAAGATTCATGCATTGAGGGCTTGACTCCAATGCAGAAATATTCAGATATTGGGTCTAAAGAGGTGCTTGGATCATAATGGCATTAACCTCATCAATTAGTTGATGAGTTCAGAGCTGAATGGGCTATTAGGAGGTGGGCCCAGTTGGAGGAAGTAGGCCTCTGGGAGCCTGCCTTTGAAGGGTACATCCTATCTCCAGCCCCTTTCTCTTTTTCTGGTTCCTTCTCTTTGTTTTCTGACTGCCATGAAGTGGGCTTTCCTCTACCATGTCCTTCTACCCTTCTGCCACAATGTTTCTATCTTGGAGCCAGCTGACCAAGGAGTAAAACCATGAGCCAAAATAAACCTTTTCTTCTTTAAATTGTGTATAGCAGTTATTTTGTTTCAGCAACAGAAAACTGACCTATACAGCGTCATTTTGAAAATATTTAATACATGAAAGCATTAGACTGACTCTCAAATACTAAAAGCTACAAATCTAACATGGATAAGTTAAACAAATATCTACATAATATGATACAGACTACAATTCTTTCCACACATTTCTGGAATTTACAGGACTCTGGAAACAGCAAGATTTTCATCAACTTATTTGATGGCAACATGTCCCTTGACGTGATGTAAGGCTATTTACAGTCTTTATTTATCTAACTTAGTATAAATATCTATATGTTTTTAGTTAAAGTATGTTCCCCAGATTCTACCAGGAATGTTAAAGTAATATCCAGGTATGTATTATTTTTCAAAACCAGAAAAATGCTTCATTCCAATTTACATTTAACCCCAAATTTTGTAGATGAAAGATTGTGGACCTGTATTATGTTAATTAGACAAACACAACTAAACATTTTAGGTTTATTATTTATTTATTTATTTTTGACAAGGTCTTTCTTTGTAGATCAGGCTGGCCTTGAACTCACTTAAGGTAGCCCAGGCTTGCCCTGAACTCTCAGCAGTCCTCTTGCCTCAGCCTCCAAGTGCTGGGATTACAGGGAGGAGCCACAACACCCAGTTTAGCTTCTTAAATAATTCCAGATGAGTTGTATTTAGTAAGGCATATGAGTACTTCTTAACATGTTTGATATGTTGTGGATAGGCTTTCCAAAAGAGAAAGAAAAAAAAAAAAGAAAAAATATCTGAAACAACTTTGTCTTTTCATAAGTACTTCTTAACTAATTCATATCCCAATTTCTCCACTTACTAGCTGTGTGATATTAAGCAAGTTATTATTTCTATGCCTCACTTTTCTCATTTGTAAAATGAGAATAATAACATGTAAAAACTGCATAAAATTGCTGATGTCCTCCTGTTTTATTTTCCTTCAAGAATGGTAGATTTACATTTGTTCAACCCAGTATTTACCTTGAAGGGTTGTTGGGGGAATCAATATGTTAATGTCTAGAGAACAGTTAGAATAGTGGCTGCCTGGCACACAAAAAAAGTATTAGATAATTATTTAAGTAAAAAACAAAAATGGGGGCCGGGGATTTTTCTCAGTGTTTTTGCCGCCTGCTTTGCAAGCACAAGGACCTGAGTTTGATTCCCCAGTACCAAAAAAAAAAAAAAAAAAAAATGGTTATGTGACCATCAATCATTAGATAATGTATTTCTCTCTTTTTTTAGCAAAGCCTTTATTGGTACATTTTAGATATGCATAATGATAATACTTAACATAGACACTTTGCACCTGTACATGATAATGTGTGTGTGTGTGTGTGTGTGTGTGTGTGTGTATATATATATATTTTTTTGGTACTGGGGATTGAACTCGGGTCCTTGTGCTTGCGCAGCAGGTGGCGAAACCACTGAGCTAAATCCCCGCCCCTGTATTTCTTAAGTAAAAACATTAGAATGGTTAGATGACTCAGTTATGTTTAAAAAATTTTTCTGTATCTTATGATGTTTTGACATCTTATAAGTCTTGACAGCTGGGGAGACACTGCCTCTCCCAGGATTAGTCAGTTCTTAGAGATAGCAAAGGGTTCAAACCAACTTGTGCTGAGCACTTACACCTAACCACCCCCTTTATCTAACCCTCAAGCACCGTCCCAATGCTTCCCCTGCTCCAAGTCATCTTAAAGCCAGGTATCAGACAGCTTGAGACAATCCCTACCCGCAAAGCCTGCTGGACATATTCACACTAATGCCTCCTAACCTGGATATCACGCTTTGCCCTGACTGTCAGGAACCCAAAGAAAGGCTCTTACATAAGTTTTCCCTCTTGTTTATGCCCATTGACCCAAACCTAGTACTTCCTGTGGCCTTGTAAGTTTTTTTTCCCAAATAGCATTGGTTTCTCTGTATTGAGACTTAGTCACCTGCATAAATGAAAACTCTAAGTGTTCAAATGAGACTGTGACCTGGGGTGAGTTACTTGCCTGGCCAGTCTCACTTTCTCTCAAAATGACAGTTTTATACTAGATGATACACAGCAGTTCTAACATCATAGAACTCTATACTTCTTTCTGTAAACTACACTAATTTTTGATTTTGGTAGCGGGAATTGAAGCCAGTTCCTTTGCACTGAACTATAGGCTCACCACCCTCTTTTAAAAAAATCTTTTATTTGGAGACAGAGCTTGCCAGGTTGCTAAGTTGCCTAGGCTAGGTTCTAATTTGCAGTCTTTCTGCCTCAGCCTCCTACAGTGTTAAGATTACAGGCATGCCCCACCACACACGGTGTTTTTGAACAAGCTAAACTGTCAGCTAGGAGAAGGTATCAAATAATTCTGGTTATGAAAAAGGAGACAATTGTTTCCCCAAATGAGGCCAGTCATCAGTGTACAGTTTTTCTCAGGGAACAAAGCCTGCCAACTGAGGTGGGGTATGTACCTTGCTGCTGCTCTCAGGTGAGCTCTACACCCATGTCTGGGATGAAGAGTAGTTGTGGGGTGCAGTGTGTATCTCCTCCCCTGACTGAGTTTCTGCAACCCTGGCTAACAGTGAGAAGGCTCAGCTGACTCACCAAATTTGATCTGGGCCTGGGTTCCAAGGGCAGCAGCAAGGATGAGGAGGGAGAGGGCAGCTATGAAGACCTTCATCCTCGTGGTGGGCAGGCAGAGCTGGCCTGAGACTCCTGGGTTCACGGCTCCCGGACTCCTTGACCCACTCTGGCATTTATATGAGCTGGATCAGGAAGTACCAGATGCTATTTGTTCTTTGTCTATATAATAATCAACATGCCATTTCTAAAAGAGGGAACACGGCTGAGAATACATCAGGAAGTAGAGAGCAAGAGTGATTTGGGGGCTTTCCCAATTCTTTCAGTAGATTCAGGGAAAGAGAATACATATTTCTAGGATTCTTCCTCTAGGAGATTCATGTGATCCTCTAAATCTGATTGCAGGGTGGGGCTGGGGGACTCTCAGACATCCCACCTCGAGGTTGGGCTTTGGTGGGCGCTGTCTTGGGCCCTTCTCCATTTCTAGTCCTGGAGTCAAACCACAAAGGAATGGAAAGGTAAGAGAGCCTACCAAGTTGGCCACTATAATGGACAGTGGGGGTGTCTCAAGGTTAGGAGCCCAAGATCTTCTAGTTGTAATGATCTCAAGGCCTAACCATTCCATCCTGGGCTTTCAAATGCCCAGAAATCTTACAATCCAGGGTGACCACCAGAGGAAATGCTCTAACACATGAACTTGATTCTCATGAATCTGCCAGTGACTTCTCAAGGACTCCAAAGTTCTCATCTATGTGCAGAAGGCTGTAGGGAACAGGGAAAGGGGACATTACTAGAGCCTCTGCAGTAAGTCCTAGTCTCCTGCAAGCCATGGCAGTACACGGTGAATTAACTTATTATACAGGAAAGGTAGAAAAATGAGACTTTGAGAAAAAGCTGAGCTTTAGGCCTGATCGGTGCTGCTCTGGGTGGCAAAGACGAAAGCCCCCAGTTTACCCCACCTTTTATTCAGTACATCAGGAGAAACAGATGTAACAAATGACCTGCAGAGAGTTCAGTACATCGGGAGAAACAAAGTGTAACAATCCAAGAACAATGAGGAACTGAATAGATGTTTGTTCCTCCCAGGATGTCTTCAGCTGGTGTGATCTCATCCTGGAGCATCACAGCATCACCGGATCACTGTGGTCTCAGTTGTGACCAGAGGCCAAAATGGAATTATGTCTCGGAATTCCATAGCTGGGCTGTAGGCAGGAGAACTAGGCTAACCAAATGATTTTACCCTAAAATTATGTAGCATTGCTCCCGACAGAAGCCCCTTCAGAATCAGGTTCTCCTGGCATGCACAGTTCCTCTACTTTCCAATGTAATGGCATTTTAATGCATATTAAGTATAACAGTTAAATTTGCATTTATGAATTTAGAGTTTCTTTTTTTTCTTTTGGATTGAGTATATATATTTCAGGATGTCAATATTTATGCATAATGGATAAATTTTCCTGGTGTTTATACTAATTCCTACTGTCTCATTAACTCTGTTCGGCAGTCACCTCTGCCAGGGAGACTTCTTGGCTCTTGCTACCCCTAGGCTGAGCCAGGTGTCTCTTGTAAGTGCTTCCACAGCATCTGGTGCTCAGATTTATTGTAGCCCCAGTTATATTCTATTTTAAATGCATATTAATGTCCTCTCCCTATATAACAAGGTTTTTGTATGTATGCATGTATGTATGTATTAACAGAACACATCGCATAGATCTGTCCTCTTAACAAATGTCTAATTGTGCACATACAAGGTCCTTGAAGAGTATCTTTAAGGACAGAGTAGTGACCATAAACCAGTGGTGTTGAGTTTTCAAGAACAAGTGCAGAATGATGATAATGAAATGGTGATAAGTAATTCTCTTTTGGTTAATAGGAAAAAAGTCAATTAAAATTTTTTGGAAATAAGAATCTGTGTGAGGTTATCATGGGTCAGATATTAGGCAAATGCTGCCTGTGATCCCAGCACTCTGGGAAGCTGAGGCAGGAAGACTGCAAGTTCAAGCCCAGCCTGGGCAACTTAGTGATTTAGCAAGACTGTCCAAAAATAAAAAATAAAGAGGGCTAGGGATGTAGCTCAGTGCAAAGGCCCTGAGTTCAATCCCCAGTACTGAAAAAAAAAATTAAGCAAATAAAAATGTGTCATTTGAGCAAATGCGGTAAAAGACACTTTTTTTTCTAAATTGTCATCAAATCTTCAAAGACTAGCTGTTATAATAGAGAGAAGATAAAGAAGATAAAATAATGTGAAGTTGTGTTTAATCTCTTTGGGGTTACAATAAATCTGAGCTTTTGGGATTATCTCAGAACTTTTCCCCCCCCAATAGTGACTTATTGTTACAAAGGTTATTTGGTTATAAATTTTTCTCCCATTGATTTCTTAGGCAAATCACACTGAAAATAGGCATAGATTTTAAACTTTTTTTTCAAGTAAAGTAATTTTGTTATTTAGAATTTGGTGCTATCTTTTGGATTTTATGGGATAGTTAATCAAGATGTACTACTTATAAATATAAACTTATTTGTTTTAATAGAGGTGTATATAAAGTTAATATCTACTCCATCTCTAAATGTTTTCTTTAACATCCTCTAACTTTAGATGAAAAATCTCTTTGGACCATGCATCTATTAAGAAAAACATTTAAGGGCTGGGGATTTAGCTCAGTGGTTCCAGCACCTCCCTTGCAAGTGCAAGGTCCTCAGTTCGATCCCCAGTACCAAAAAAAAAAAAGAAAGAAAAACATTTAAAACTGAGAAATAGACAGAGGAATAACTGCTTGCCTTTCTAGTCCCACGCCACATTTCCTTAAACCTATAGGAGAATGTGCTTTTGACTGATGTTCTATTTACTACTGATCAGGCCCTAGACTTTTTGAAATTATATATTAACTTGAAAAACTTTGTCTAGCATAAATACAAATGATTTCCATTCATTAGACGATGATCCTAAAAGTTACAGTTTTATTATTGCTCTGTAGGCAGCATATTGATCTATGCTTTCATTTAGCAAACTTGTTTCAGAATATCATCTGAAATTAACTATATAAATCTCTGTTCCTCCAATGATCTTTGAAAAAGTTTAATGGTTCCCTCACTAATGGGTTAAATATATCTTTGACATATTTTCAATATATATTTGAATGAGTCATATTTTAGCTATTTAAAAATTTTGCAGCTAAGCATGGTGGTGCACACCTGTAATACTAGCACCTGGAAGGCAGAGGTAGGAGGATTGCAAGTTTGAGTATAGCTTGAGCAATTTACTGACTTAGAGAGACATTGACTCAAAATGCAAAATAAAAAAGGCCTGGGATATACTTCAGTGCAGAGACCTGGGTTCAACAGTAGTACAATACACACACACACACACACACACACACACACACAAATGCTCTTGTTTTAAAGACAATAGTTATCCAAATTTGAGTAATACCCTCATTTCTTTCTCCTCTTTTTTTTTTTTTTTTGGTACCAGGGATCGAACTTGGATCCTTGAACTTGCGTAGCAGGCGGCAAAACCACTGAGCTAAATCTCTGACCCTCTTTCTCCTATTAAACCTCAAGTAAAGTAAATTAGATACTGCTCCAAAGCAACCCAGACCTAATGTATGAGGACTTGCCCCAAGGTGCTGTGAGATGAGAGAAACTGAGGCAGACAGATCTAGGATTGCAGAGAGTGCAGTTTATTGCGGGACTGGAAGTTTAATTCCATGTGGTAGAAAGGCCAGTTGGATCCCTGCAATTTGAATCAGAAAGTGGGTGCATATATATATAGGTTAGGACAGAAGTAAATTCATTCTAGCTGTACTATCTCTGGTTTATCTTAAGCTAACATCAAAGAATCAGGGAAATTTCTGGAGGCAGGGTCTGGTTATAAAGCACCACATACCATTGTAATGGTTTTATCCATTAATTTATAACTGACTGCACCACTGGAGCTCCCTTTATCCATTTACAGTTTGCTGAAAAACTGTGCAGAAAAAACCAATTAGAGTTTTTCTGGGGGAAACCATGCAATTACACATCCAGTTGGCTATAGTAATGTCCATACAGATATTGTTTATTAATGCATTGTTTAAAGAAGAGTAAGGTTTTTGGTTTTTTTTTTAAAAAAACAACTCAGGCCAAGAAACTCCCAGAAGGTAGTTGGGGCAAGAAAGCTGAAGGTCAGGTGGCTGGTAATTTATGTCCTATTTCCTAGCGAAGATTTAGCGTTCCCAGGTCCTTGGGCACCAAGGTCAGGGTTAGGTATATCATGCAATCCTGAACTCTCGAATCGCTGGGGTTGGCACAGACACGTTGTCCTTTTTTGGTGGTGAAGCTGGAAAGAAAAGAGGAGAATGATTACAAACTGAAGTGTCTTCTGCAGAGGGTGGTGAGGAACCCCCACACACACAACTTCCCCACTCAACACAATCTGCTCTTTCCGTTCTCTCCAGAAGGCAGCTCGGGGCTAGTCTCCTCTCTGAGACCCTCTCTCAGCCTATGGGACTCCCTTGTGACCCATGGGTGTGTCCTTGGGCAGCTTTCTGCCTGCTCTCTCCTTCCTTCCTCCCCTCCCCTCTTCCTCACTAGAAATGTGTCATCTCGGGTACCCTGCAGGCTTCTAATAAGGACACAAGCTGCCCCCTACCCCGGCAAGACCCAAGGGTGGGACTTTTGGGGACACTTGCACATCAGTTTCTCCCACCAAGACCCTGGAGTCTCCCTGCAAACCCACAGTGGCTGAGTTTGATACTTACATGACACCTGGCTTGGGGCACCCACTGCTTGTCTCAAAATAATCTTCCATGAGTGTACACCGGATCCTTCGTGAAGTGTAGGAGAAGCAGCAGTCACTAGGATGGTGAAAGCCTGCAGGTAGAGAAAGGGCTATTTGAAAGGCCAAGCTTTTCCCTGGTGTGAACTATGGGTACTATGAAGGGTATGGTGGAGAAGGCCCAGGACTCAGAAAGGATGCTTCTTCCTCCTCAGCCAGCACTTACTGTCATCTCCTTACTTCAGACCCAGGTCAGAGTTGAGCTGTGTGCCAGGATGGGCCCCAACAGGGCCAGATGCCTTTCCTCAGAAGGGGAAGACACCTGCAGACACCTGCAGGCATCAGAGAGCACCCTCTGCTCCCAGTGGGCAGACTCTCAGGTCAGCCAGGTGGGAACAGAGAAGGTATCTTTGGAGGAGGTATTAGAGACCTCTCCTGATCTTCCCTGGAGAACTGTACCCGCCCCAGGGTGCTTTTGTTCTCTCCCTGTCCTGTAAACAGGGTAGGTGAAGGCATCGTGCAGATCTGTACCACTTACTGTGTTTAATATATGTCATTTACCGTGAAGAACTGGTGGAGATCTAAATTGGCGCAAAGATTCTAGGTGTTTTCTTATCTCAGAATCTGGAAGAAACATATCATGGGCAGAGCAATGAGTAGGAGGCTGCATGGTCTCCATATCTCCACTCACCCTCATCCCAAGAAGAGACTGATGCTGAGCCATTGCTACCTCTCTGGTCCTAGGCTGCCTCTAGGCCCGTTTTCCCCATGAGTGTCCTGGGATTTCTTGGGGACCTTTTGAAAAGGTTTGAGATGTGAAAGCTTTGAACTGACTCTGAAATACTAAAAGCAAATACCAAACCTAACACAGGTAAGCTAAATATCTACATAATGTGATACAATCCACTGGACTCGACAGGACTCAGAAAACCATGAGTTTTTCATCACCTTGTTGGGTGATACAATGTCCATGGAGTGAAGTGAGGCTATTTACAGTTTTTATTTATTTCACTTAGTACAAATATTTGTATGTTTGTTGTAGGAATATTACTGTATTTCAGTAAACTCTGCTTCCCAGACTCCACTAAGAATAAGTAACATCCAGATATTATAGCCTTCCAAACATTGTAGCAACATACATAGAACATAGAGTTTGTCATTTAAACCATTTGTAAGCACCTAATTTAATAATATTTAAATATATTCAAGTTCTGTTCAACTATCACTCACCATCCAATCATACAAATTTTTTTCACTTTGTGAATTACAATTTTGTACCAGCTAAACTCTAATTCCCCATTTTGTCTTTTCTCAGTCTTTGGCAACTACCAGTCTATTTTCTATCTTCAGGAATTTGAGTTCTCCAAGTGACTCATATGAGTAGAATCATACAATATTTGTCTTTTTCATAACTGGCTTATTTCACTTAGCATTATATCTTTGATGTTCACATTGCAACATGTGTCAGAATTTCCTTCCTTTTCAAGGTTCAGTAGTATTTCACTGTATGGTTGCCTACTACATTTTAGTTACCTATTTTCTCACTGATGGACGTGTAGAGTGCTTCTGCTTTTTGCTTATTGTGAATAATCTACTATGGACATCAGTATATTAAAATCTTTTCATCTGGCTGCTTTTAATTCTGTCAGTTATACCCAGAATGGAATTGCTGAATATCATAATAACTTTTCAAAACTCTCAAAATTCTGCATTTAAAAATTCATGTGGTCTCAAAGATTTTGCATAAGATTGTAGAGCCACACTGTGATAATTAGGCAAATGCAACTAAACTTCCTCCCTTCCTTCCTCCCTTCTTCCCTCTCTTTTTTTCCCCAATTTTCTAACTTCAAGTTAATTTCCACAATTGACTATATTACAGACTAGAGGTAGCTTTCAAATTGTTATTTACATTTCATATAAGACATAAATTAATGATTTTGGCAGGGCCGGGGATGTAGCTCAGTGGCACCACACCTGCCTGGCAAGTGCAAGGTCCTGAGTTCCAGCCCAGGTACTGGGAAACAACACGAGAGACCTGATTTTGGCAATAAGGATTCAGCTACCAACTCTGTCCAACAATTGCTCTCCATTGTTCTTAAGCTCATTTTCTCTGTACAATGAACCTTCCAGATCTGCGGGTTCCACATCTGTGCAGTTAGCCAGCTATGAACACAAAACATTCTTTAAAAAAGTTGTACCAGTACAGAACATGCAAAGACTTCTTTTTCACTCTTTTCATTATTTTGTTTTTCATTACTAGGGATTGAAACCAGGACCTTCACACTGGGCTATATTCCCAGTCTGTTTTCTATATTTTATTTTGAGACAGTATTTTGCTAAGCTTCCTAACCTGGATTCAAACTTGTGATCCTCGTGCTTAAGCATCCCAAAGTGCTGGGATTACAGGCACACATCACCAAGCTCAGCTTCATTATCCTTTTAACAATATATCATAACAACTATTTACTAGAATTACATTGTTTTAGGTATTATAATCTAGAGATTATTTCAAGTACGGGGGAGGATATACATGTTTATAAAAAGACATGCGCTCCCACAGCTTTTGCTACCTACCGGGGGTCCCTGAAACCACTCTTCCAAGGACACCAGGGGATGGCTGTACTCACATATGAACTCTATTTACTGAAGCATGTGAATATGTTATAAGATGCTTGATATGATCTGGGTAGGCTTGCATAAAGGAAAAAGAAACCTTAAATAGCCTTGTCTGTCCATAACTACTTCCTAAGTAGCTCCTGTCTTAATTCCACTACTTACTAGTTCCTAATGCAACAGGAACTTATGAAATAAGTTATCTCATGTTCCTAGGCCTCAATTTTTTCATTTATAAAATGAGAATAGTGTTTGAAACTATAAAATTACTGATGTCCCACTGTGTTTCCCCTGTAAATATTGCTAATTCAAATTGCTTAACATAATATCTGCCCTACAGGGTTGTTAGGAGCAATAAATATGTTAACATCTATAGAACATCTGGAACAGTGCCTGCCCTCTATACAGGAAATATTAGATATGTATTTGTTAAATGAAAAATGGGATGGTTAGGTGACTTTGGGTAATTTATCTGAGTGGTCCTACTACTTCCTTTCCAAAATGACAGATTTATACTTGACTCTGTATAGCAGTTCTACATCATAGAATTCTATGCTCCTTTTCAAGAATTTAAAATTGTACTAAAGTAAAATTTGACCTAGCACTTAACAGTCTTTTTAGCAAAGGGAACATATCAAATAATTCTGATGATGAAAAGGAAAATAATTATTTCCCCAAATGAGATCCACATCTGTGTGCAGTTTTTCCCAGGTAACAAAGGCTGTAGACAGAGGCAAGTCTATACCCTGCTGCTGCTTTCAAGTAAGTTCCATAACCATATCTGGGGTGGATACGTGGACTACGGTAGTGCCCCTCTGCATCTCCTCCCCTGACTGAGTTACTGTGGTCCTGGCACCAGTGAGAAGGAAGACTCATTTGACTCACGAGGTATGATGCTGGCCTGGGATCCAAGGGCAGCGGCAAGGATGAGGAAGGAGAGGGCAGCCATGGAGATCTTCATCCTCACTGTGGGCAGGCAGAGCTGGCCTGAGGAATGTTGGGTTCACTGCTCCCTCCCTGCCTTCTTGGCCTGCCCTGGTATTTACAGGATGAAGATAAGGAAGTCACAGAGTAAAAGTCAAAGTGCTGTTCTTTGGCTACATAATGATGAACGCACTATTTCTAAAAGAGGGAACAAGGCTGAGAACGCAATAGGAAGTAGAGGGCTGCGAATGCAATAGGAAGTGAGTGCAAAGATGCCTTGGTCTGTCCTCATGGAGTTCCTTAACTGTCCTAATGGGTACTGGAAAAGACATTAAATATTTTAAGACAGATCCTTCCTTATAGGAGATACACTCATCCTCTAAATTGGAGGAGTCCTCCCAACCCCCAGGACTTAACCACTTTCCTGTTCTTAGTAGCCTATAAATGCAGGGTCCATCAGAGAGGAAGTAATTTAAAACCTTGGCCATGGGATTTCCCTAAGTATCCAGAGCTATGCTTGACTTCTCCCCTTCGTCTCATACCCCACATCTAATCCATTAATGAGTACTTTTGGCTCCACTTTCAAAAATATACACAGACTCTTATTTCTTGAAAGGAAAAAACCTCAGTTTCTTCTCTGTTCTGTCACTCTTAATATTCCCTTCCGACACCATCTACCTGGGGTTAGAAGCGACCCCACAGCCCTAGTCTACAAGACTTCCTCCATTTCAGATTTCAATCACAAGTAGTGGGTTCTCAGGTTTTCCACAACTTCTATCTAACTTGCCTACAAATCTCAAGATTCCATGACCCTCATTTCCAATGTGATGTTTTGCTAGAGCAGCTCATAGAATTCAGGAAAATAATTTACTAATTATATTACCAGTTTTTTATTTGTTTGTTTGTTTGTTTTGGGCCACAGTCTCACTGTGTAGACTAGGCTGGTCTTCACGTCACTATATGGCCCAGGCTGGCCTCGAACTCACAGTGATCCTCCTGCCTCAGCCTCCCACCTGCTGGGATTGTAGGTGTGCACCATCACGCTCAATCTACTACTTTATTATAAAGATTGCAACTCAGAAACAGCCAGATGGAGAGGTGTTTTTGATCAGTGCAAACGTACAAATTACAAAAGTTAAAAAGACTTTATTTGGGCTCTTAGCTCCTTTGGGAATTGTCTTTGAGTTACTTTTGCTTCCCCTTCCTTTGCCCTTCTGCAAAGTTGCTCCCCCCCCCCCCCCCCGTCATTCTTGTGCAAGAATTGTATTCCCTTTGTTTTGTCCAGCATTCTGAATTCTAAAGAGAAATCCTACCCCAAGGGTTAAGATGTTTATTGGTAAATAATCTTTCTTTAGATTTACAGAACATCTGGTGACCTTCAGATAACCTCAGAGTGTGTAACATCCCTCCTTGTTCTTTTAACCCTGCGTGTCAACCAACACAAAATGTGTAAATTGCTGTGAGGTTTAACATGCAGAAAAGTACTGTTGTCTGTCTAGAAGAACTACAGGAACTAGCTCCAGGAGATTGAATTCTATTTCAGTGTTCTAGTGCAGAAATTAAAAGAAGACACTGTTCTAGATGATGAAGATCACATTCAGTATCTAGACATCCTATCTTGTTCCTCTTTTTCCACTCTATAAAAGTCCTATTATGGTCTGGATCTTAAATATCTCCCAGAAGCTAATGCTTTGAAAGCTTCATTCCCAGTTAATGGTGAAATTACAAGGTGATGGAAACTTTAGGAGGTGGGACCTTGTTGGAGGATATAGATCAATAGGGGTGTGCCCTCAAAGGGTATATCAGGTCCCTCGTCTTTTCTCTCTTTCTGCTCTCTGGTTGCCCTGAGGTGAGCACTTGTGCTCTGCCATGCCCTTCTGTCATGATGTTCTGCCTTACCACAGGCCCAGAAACAATGAAGCAGCTGACCATGGACTGAAACCTCTGAAAACATGAACCAAAGTCTTTCCTCCTTTAAGTTGATTTTTCTCAGGTCTTTTGTCACACGGATGGAAAATTGACTAACACAAGTTTTTTGTGCTCTGAATTCCCCAGAGTGGAGTTTTGAGGATGAGAGCTTCTTTACATCATCCAGTAACATTAGGAATTGCGGTATGGAGGCACAGATTCAGATAGTTCTAACTTGGTGTTCTGAAAAAGGCAAGGAAAGTGAGAAGTTATATTGAGTAAGGAGTGTTGACTTATTACATGGCAGGAAAAATTCCTTTGTGGGGAAACTTCTGTTGGAATTGAGAACAGGTACTATGTGACCAATGGAAGATAAAGAAAATAATGTATATAATTGGTTTTTAAAAGTTCATAAAGCAAAAGCTTGACAACTTCTGGTGTGAAACATAGATCTCTGGGCATAATGTTATTATCAGTTGCAGCTGCCTGTAGTCAGAAGGTAACTCATGTTCACATTCTTAGGCAGCAGTTGCAGTTGTACATAGGACCTTCTCCCTTGATGACCTGCTTGTTCTTCAGTGCAGAAGTGCTCTGAACCCCATCCTTTCGGAATTTTATGGAGGCTTTATGACAAGCACGATTGATTAAATCATTGACTGTTGGTGATCAAATCAATCACCAGGCCCTCTCCTCTGCCTGAAATTTGAGGAGGTGAATCTGAAAATCCACCCAGATTTCAGAAGAAGGCCTTGGAAGCCAGGCAGTGCGCCCCTGAGAGGCCAGCGGGTGCAGCTGTGAGTGTGAGTCAAAGGTTCAGTGGAGACCCTAGAGGTTTGGAGAAGCCAGGAATTTGGATCATGTCAGGAAAACTGCAAGGAAGGAGCAGAGCTAGCCCAAGAGAGAAAACATGGGAACTACAACCACTGGCAGGCCCATAGGAGCGGAGCCACCCAAGCCCTTTGGAGTTCACATCTTGCCACAGATTACCTCGGATGCTGCACATGAAACTATAGGACTTAATGTTTGCCCTGCTGGATTTTGGACTTGCTTTGGTCCCATTCCTTTAAATTCCCCTATTTGTACCTTTAGGAATGGTAATGTTTATCTTGTGTCATTGTATGTTGCAAGTGTTTAACTTTCTTTTCATTTGTAAATGGGCTCACACCTAAAGTTTGCCTTAAATCTCAGAGGAGACTTGGGACTTGGAGATTTTAGGAATGCTGCAACTGTTAGGACTTTGGCATGTCTTGGAGATGGACTACATGCCTTTTGCATAAAAGAATGCACATGAGTCTTTGGGGGACCAGGGGCAGAATGTTATGTTTGTGCCTAGATGTCCCCTCAAAGCCTCATGCAGTTATAGGTGGGGCTTTTTCAGAGGTGGCTGAAGCTGGATTGTACGATGCTGGGATTAAGGGTGTGTGATTACTAAATCAGTCCACTGATTGGTTTGGTACTGCCCTAATCCCAATAGCCTAGATAAAGTACGAAAGGGGTAGAAAGAAGCTGCTAAGGTCTCTTGCTTGCTTTGCTACCTTCTGTGCACCATGAATTGTTTCTTCTCTGCAATGCTCGTCTGCCATGCCACCCTGCCTTGGAGCCAGCTGATGATGACTGAAATCTCTACAAACCATGAGCTAAATAAACCTTTTCCTTTCCTTTTGGGTGTCTGGTATTTTGTTTCAGCAACAAGAGAAAAGTAACTAAAACTTGGGGTATATTGGGTTAAATAAAATATATTATTAAATTAATTTCATTTGTTTTGTACTTTGTAGATATAGCTACTAGAAAATTTAAAATTATATATGTGAATTGCATTTTATTTCTATTGGCTCTCACCAGGCTAGATGATTTCAGCCTGCAGCCAACTTAGTCACCTCTTGCTACTTATGTTTTAGCAGAGGCCCCGTGGAACAGAGACCAGTCATCCCTACTATGCCTCGAATCAGCCTCTGACCCATCGACTGGGTGAGCCTAGTTGTAAAATAGTTGTTTGATAACACTACATTTTGGGTGGTTTGTTACACAGACATGGATCATGGATCATGGATCATGGATCACGGATTCTGGTCTTGCTCATGCAGGTGTATTAAGTATATTCTTATAGTTGCTTTACCTATCAACATCAGAGAAGCTTCAGGCCAGGAAGGGAGAGTTATAAACTACAGACTGAGGTAAAACAGATGCTTATCTCATTCTAAGCAAACTGAGTGACTGAAGCACTGGCGAAGGCAAAGGATAGGATCAAAAGGATGTGAAATGGAACATGATTACTGTCCACCCTTGTCTCCCTGATATAATTTATTATGTCTAATCCATCAAAAAGTCTCCTTTAAGTCAATTGCACTTGTTTTGTCAGCTTCAGTGGAACCTGGATTATATACTCCAATACATCTCCACTTCCCTTATCTTCCTCAGCTATCAAGACGTCAAATCACAGAGAGCCTCATGTTATGGGGAAGGACACCACAAATAGACCACTTTGAATCTTGGCTTCTGGGTACATAACTTCACATATATTACTCTATATTTCAGGACATACGTTCTGTCCTAGAGGATGGGTCCCAACTCTGAAATGTATTGGCTCCTTAGCCAAGTTATTAACATTCCAATGTTCTTTTGGTCTGGTTGTTTCTGAGTGATAAAGTTTATGGTGATACTGGTAGGTTCCATATGCCCACTAACACCATTTGCTGTAAAATGGATGCCTTTGTTTGAGGCAATGTTGTGCAAATGCCATTCTGTCTGATCAGGCAGCCTGATCTTTTGGATGAGTGGGCAGCCAGAGGAAATACTGGTAAGGAGAAAAAACAAAAACAAATCAAAACAAAAAACAAATCTGCAGTAAGTGTCTGCCATATTGGATTTTTTTCCTTGCAGGATTCAAAGGTCCAAGATAATCATGTCTCCATATAGCCAGGCTTTCTCCTGGGGGAAGATGGGTAGGTACCATACTGAGACTCAACACCCTTCTCTGCTGCTGGTAGGGGCTATTCCCGGGACATTAGGGGCAGTAACTAAAGTGGCCTTGGTGAAAGAGAAGCCCATGGTGAAAGAGAAGCCCTTGCATAGCATTCATCTTTGCCACCACAGCCTTTCAGCTCACAGTCCTGCTGTACTAACGCTGTTGTTGCTGAGGAGAGACGCAACTGACATCCACGGGACAAATCGTTGTATCCATGTGCTGCTTCTTTCCTGTGCTCTCCATTGGAGCCCAACCCTGTTTAGTCCTGAGAGCTTGTCTAGTACTTCCAGGCTGCCATGCTGAAATGTCGAGCAGGTTCCTGTAGGCTGC